AGTAATAGTAATAGTAATAGTAATAGTAATAGTAATAGTAATAGTAATAGTAATAGTAATAGTAATAGTAATAGTAATAGTAACAGTAACAATAATAGTAGGTTATAGTAATAGTAATAAAAACAATAATAACGATAATAATTTTGTTTTCTGGACACAGTCGGTCATTTTTGACCACGAACTTTAGTTCTTCGAGCAAATATGACAGTTTTGCGTTAACGTGTGTGGGGTGGTTTGTGCGTCTTATCTATCTACTTATAGAAAAACTGCTATACTAAATAGAATTTGTTTCCAGGTTATAAGTGGAATTACTTTAACGAAATTCTCTGGAATAGCTGTATTAGCATTCGCTAAATCTCAAATATTCAGAATATTCTATTTTCGAATGTATTTGGGGATTGTCCTTTTCGGTGCCGTTCATGGGCTGGTATTCTTACCAGTATTCCTTAGTTTTGTGGGTAAGTATTAAATATACAGTTTATGTTAAGGGCGTGACATACAAGGCGTTATTTTTTGGGATACCCACTCCTTTGGCCATTTCGTAACTTTTTCATATGTACGTATGTGTCTATCTAATTTAAATTTACTATATTAAACCTTAAATTTTGTTCTTATACCTATTTGATGGAATAATTATAAGCGTAAGTAACGAGAAAAAGTTTTTATCAACTTGTTTCTTGAAATGTGTCCTAAGAATAGTAGGGCGTTCGTTAGAAATAATTTTGTATCAGAAAATGTGTATTAGATAACCATTGGCGTGGTGGTATAAATGCTATGGCGATGTAACGAAAATTGTGAGGAACCCAAACAGCCATAGTTTGTATGTTATTTTCGTACATATTCGATAAATATATTACACTCGAATAAACGTTTCTAGCTAAAACAGTTTTAGAGTAATATTAAAGAATGTTGTTTCTTGATACCATATTTATCTATAGGTGTATCGGTAAACGTTGACTTTAAATTTTATAATTCCGCCCAATACTTATTAAGAATTTTGATTTTAAAGTTGAAACTTATGTACAAACAATTAGTAAATAAATGTCAGTCATTCGAGTTAAGTACGTCAATGGTATAAATTTAATATTTCTTGAGTTACATTGGTTTTTGGCGATTTGCTATCACTTTCGTAAAAAAACACAATTCTAAAATTAGTGGATTGCAAATTATTTTCTAGTATTATTTGGAAGCATTGGTTGGTAGTTTATTTAATTGTTTTTGAAAATTAAACACTATGGTTTATTCCATTGCGGAAAGGGTAGATATCATTTCGCTTTACTGTATGAACAATAAATGTGCGAATAGAACAGCTCAGTTATTTAATGAACAACATCGATCAAGATCGACATGTCAGGAGGAAGTAAGTATGTTCTAGTTGGTAAAAAAATTTCAAGAGACAGGGTACGTAGCCAATAAAAAACGAGAAATTGAAAAACCTATAGTTAATGAAGTTCAACTTGATCCTACATTAAGTACGAGGCAGCTGGCATCTGTGTCTGGGATCAATTGAACTAGTATACACACCATTTTGAGGAAGAATAAATTCCATCCATATAAAATACATTTAATCCAGGAACTTCATGAGGATGATTATGACCGCCGTTTGCAATTTTGGGAACGATCCACAGTTCCTTTTTAACATCTGTTTTTCTGATGAATGCAGTTTTTTCTTGAATGGGACGGTAAATCGTCACAATTGCCGCTATTGGTCCGATTCAAACCCAAGAGTTTTTCACGAGGTGCATACACAGCAACCGGAAAAATTAAATGTATGGCCTGGAATTTTCGGTGACCGGCTGGTGGGTCCTTTTTTTCTACCTGGTAATTTGACTGGCCAAATGTATTTGCAATTACTGGAAGACGCTATTGACCCTGCCTTGACT